CACAGTGAAGGTGATGAATAGATTTAGAGGATTAGATTTGGTAGACAGAGTGCCTGAAGAGTCAGACATGACTTAATGACTCAACAACAACAACAACAGTAATTAGTAAGCTCCCTGGGCTGTGTTCAGGATATTTTCTCCCGAGTCTAATATTTCTCCCTTTCTTGTCAGAGAAAATGAATCAATACCTGACTCCTGTGGTGATGTGATATGTGGGAGCTCAAGGAAGGCTCTTTTCAAAGATCTGGATGGAAGTGCCCTAGGATTGGATTCACCTGTATCAGTTTTCCCAAAATCATTGCTGGATTGGGAACAGCCATGTCAGGATGCTGGTAAGTTGCTTGTCATGGCTAGACAGCAATAGTGAAGAATTTTATATGAGAAAGAGCAACTTAGAAGGAACCCAGTGCTACTGTGGCCATCTGAAGACAATTATTCCTCGATATATATTCAGTGACTCTATTCCAGAAAGATGGTAGTATGACAATAAAGAATTTAGAGTCATTGTCTCAGGGGTACTGTTTCCAATTGTATATGTCTCTCCTAGTTTCAGGGCAAGTAACTTAATTCAACATAACCTTTATATGTATTAACGGCAGGCTGGTCCACATTTATTCTTCAATAGAGCAAGGTAATTTTATTCACTTTTCACAAGCGTTTTGAAATCCCTTAATGAGAGATGCTTTCTAAACAATTGACCTAATATGATTTTGTGTGAATCCCACAGAGAATGGTAGGCCCGCCGGCATCCAGTCCTGCTCAAACCTTTTAAAGTAAACTGCCTGTTTCAAAAGAGCTATTTTGTTATACAGCCATGTGCTGAAAGTGCATGCAGTGAGGCTTGGTTCCCATCCTGATTAAGACTGTGCTGCGATTCCAGATAAACTCTTTAATTACAATTAGTATCTCTGGAGCCTGCTGTTCGTGATGGTGGCCATTTTGCAGAAAAGTTACATCGTTTATGACTTCTGCGGGATAGGAGCTTGATGCAGGGGACTGTAATTAATCCCATTTTCCATCTTGCCCTAGAAACCGATTAAGCACAAAACGAACTTTTATCTTTAAACAAAATGTTTAATCTTTAAATAAAACGTCTAATGTCTTCCCTGGTAAAAGGCATTTCTCTAAGGATCTGTCTTTGAGGCTGCTTAGAGGGCTGATTAATTCACTGTCTTGCACAGGCATGATCCTTCCCCCTGCTTTTGTTGACCTGATTATGAATCACAAGTCAAAGTCAGTACTGCAGACACCACCGTCCCTCACATGGATCTTTAAAGGCAGGTTAATTGTTCTTTATGTTCATGCATATAACAGGTGATAAGCTTCTAAATTTGTGGTCAGAAAACAGATCTGTGGTCTTTGCTACCTTAAGAATTTCCAGACAACTTTTCTAGGAAAGGACATATATGGAAGTGATTGAGAAAAGGCCCTGAGAGGGATTTGACACTGAATTAATAAAACATTTTTTAAAGAAAGAAAAAGGAGGTGTTGGCCATCCACCCCTATCTTAAATGGACTTGCACATCTTGGGAACCTCTTTTTCTATGGCATCTCATTTTCAAGTCCAAATCATGGACAGAAATCATATCTCCCTAACTTTAATGACCCATCATTTATGGAAGCCCTTAATAATATATCCCGCATCTGCTGCACTACGTTATGGTGAACCCCAAAGTGTTCTTTCCTGGAAGTTCAGTGCTGAATACAATGAGATGCTTTATCACCATATTTTTCCTCTCTAGTATAGTAATTCCTTTTTTATTCTGGTTTATTTTTATGTAGCTAGCTTTAGTTGGGGATATTGATTTGTCTGATGTATACTATACGACAACTCTTTGGTGAAATGTTGAGATAATTGAAAAATAACAATTTACAGAGGAATTTCCTTTCCTGATAACCACTGATCTATTCTCCCTGGGTTGGGATATGCTTTCTATATCTA